AATATTTCCAATTCCGGCAGAAATTGTGCCTGACTTACATGAACATTTTAAGCCTCAAAACAAAGTAGGTAGCTAAGACTAGGCACCCCTTATTAAGGGTAAGTAAACCTTTTTGGCTCGTATTATTGGAGTTTGGTATACCTACTGTAAGTTTCAATCCCTTCCTGAAAAAGAATAGCAGAACAGATTTTGCTTTAGAACATTTTGGTTATGCTATAGCATTATGACATGCAAGCGTGTTTTATTACGTAAAGACTGATAACCGACTCCTAATTGCTTTTGTAAAATGTTTTATATGTGCACACACACAAAAAAGCAAAGAAAAATAACTTTTTGCCTTTTTACCAATCTTTGTCCTGTCCTTCTAACTACACCAAACTGTAAACTTTTCCCTAGTTAGAACTATACCATGCTACAAACTCGGGATTAATGGATTATCCTGTCAGTAAAACTACCTTTTGTTAATAAATTGGGACACATAATTATGACAATTAATTAGTAATGTTTAAGCCAAAGCAAGAAAATTTTCATGTCACTAGTAAAAAGTAGGTACCAAACTTTGCAATAACCGGTCCTGCACATGAAATGAGCTTTAGCAAAAAGCCAAAATGCACCTCTCAAAACTCAAAATAAAAATGCAGAATAGGACATATAATCAATATGGTCTTCTTAAAAAACCAAACACAGGAATTCTGGTCCTAACAGGCACGAAAAAAGAACACCTATAATGCCAGAATGTGGCACTCAAGTATAGACGGATAAAAGAACCATTTTCATTACATATTACACCCCATAGATCTTCATATTTTCTTTGCAACCCCTCTTCCAAGTTTTACTCTATACTCTGTTTCCATGGCTAGCTTGAGCTTCATCATTGGCATTATTGGTCAGTTATCTTAAATTCTGCTCCTTTCTATCTTGTTTCCATTCATCTTTGTCTAAATTTTGCAAGAAATGTTCATGATGTTGTGTTTTGTTATGATTTTTATGGCAGGTAATCTCATTTCAATTCTGGTTTTTGCTTCTCCCATGTAAGTGTGAAGTTAAATGAAATGAAATTAAATCGTCAAAGAGAATAATTTATTTTTCTTTTTATGAGAAGTGGCTGAATATGAGCTAAGATAACAGACAGACCCATCTGGCCATCTGGGCTTTATCCACTGATCTATATTATCTTTGTTCATTATTGTGATTGTGAAATCCTGGGGAGCAAGTCTGTGATACTTAGTGAAATACATGAAAGTAATGACAAAAACTATTACTAGCTCTTCCGTGATTTATTTTATTTTTTTGTGGGAAAATGATTTCATGATTGGAGCATGGGTTTACTAATCATAGAAAATTGAATTCAACCTATAGCTATATTTGGACGTAATGTCAAAATAAGGACTATAGTAGCTATACAGAGTAAGACTTTAATGTTGGCATAATGATTTTTTAAAAGGAGAGTTTCAGATTAAATTTACAATACCAAAATCTAGAGATTCTTATTAGAATTTGACTAGGAGTTTTGATAAGGTTAGAATTCAAAAAAAGGAAAAATCCATTTTCTCCTTTCAGAAAAACCTTCTGGAAGGTTGTGAAGAAGAAATCAATAGAGAATTACAAAGCGGTTTCGTACATAACAACTCTGCTCAGTACAAGCTTGTGGACTTTCTATGGACTTCTCAAGCCAGGAGGCCTCCTAGTTGCGACTGTCAATGGCGCCGGCACCATCCTTCAGCTGATTTATGTCATTCTCTTCATTATCTATGCTCCTAAGGACAAGAAGGTGAAGATATAAATTAAACTCAAGAACTTAACTAATAAGCATTTCTCCTAAGAGAGCTTGTGAAATTCGTAATTACTTGTGAATTTGATGATATTCAGATTAAAACAGCAAAGCTGGTGGCCTTACTGGATGTGGGCTTTGTAGGGGCAGTAATTGTAGTAACCTTATTTGCAATGCACGGAAGTAATCTCCGGCTGACCTTTGTTGGGATTGTTTGTGCCAGATTAACCATAGGCATGTACGCATCGCCATAATCCGCTATGGTAAGTCATTTTGTGATCAGGTTACACAATAAAAATGGCAATTCCTCTTCCATCTTTTGATCAATTCCTTTGCGGATACCTAAATTTTGAATACTTGATTGAATATATATTACCTTTGAAAGCAATAGCGGTATCTCACTGAATAATTTGTGTTGTCCTTAATGCGTGGCAGGGCACGGTGATAAAGACCAAGAGTGTTGAGTACGTGCCATTTTTACTCTCCTTTTTCCTCTTTCTCAATGGGGCTGTTTGGTCTATTTATTCAGCCTTATTGAAGGATATTTATATTGGAGTAAGTTACTGTCGTTCTCTTTGTCTAACATTTGATTACGAGCTACATAAAAGAGATATAATAGAGATAGTCTTGCTTTCCTTTTAGTCATTTTTAATATATTAAAGCAAATGATATTCAGTATATGGAAGAAAGGGATGAAAGGAAAAGTAAAAATTTAATCATTTATTTTAGAAGTGTGAAAATCTTATATATTAATTACAAAGTCACTTCAACTATTAAAACTCTACGACTTATCTTTAAGTCTCAAATTCTGTGTATGTTGATAATATATATATATATATATATATATATGTCTTTGTGTGTGTGTGTTTACATAGATTTAATTTTTATTAAGGTTAAAACCCCTTTTTGGTCCCTGAACTATTGTACGGACCCTCGATTTGGTCCTTCCGTTAAAAACTGTGTGACGTGGCCCGTTACTTCACGGTTACCAGATGACATGTCATATAGCAATCCACGTGGAAGACCAAAAAGTGATGATGTGGAAAAAATAATAATATAAAAAAATATTATTAAAAATATTATTAAAATTTTTTTTCTTTTTTCTTTTTTCCTTTTTTCTTTCTCCTTCCCCTTTCCTTTTCTCTTTCTCCTCCCCCTTTCTCTTATCTTTCCCCTCGGAACCTAAGCGTGCTGGGTTCACACCGAACCCAGCATGCCTGGGTTTGGTGGAACCCAGCACGCCTGGGTTTGGTGGAACCCAGCACGCCTGGGTTTGGTGGAACCCAGCACGCTTGGGTTCGGTTCCTTGCGAACCCAGCGCCTGGGTTCGCAAGGAACCCAAGCGTGCTGGGTTCGCGTCTGGTGTTGGGTTCGTTGGGTTCGCGTCTGGTGCTGGGTTCGCTGGGTTCGTGTCTAGTGCTGGGTTCGCTGGGTTCGTGTCTGGTGCTGGGTTCGCATCTGGTGCTCGAGTCTGGGTTCACGTCTGGTGCTGGGCTCACGTTTGGGTTCGCACCGAACCCAACATGCCTGGGTTTGGTGTAACCCAGCACGCTTGGGTTCGGTTCCTTGCGAACCCAACGCCTGGGTTCGCGTTTGGGTTCCTACAAACCCAGCACGCTTGGGTTCACAAGGAACCCAGGTGCAAAAAATTTTAAAAAAAAAAAATTTTTGTTTTTGTTTTTTGGATTTTGTTGTTTGATTGTGATGAAAAAATTGATTGATGAAGATGAAGAAGGCATTACTGTAGGTGTTAGGTGTTGGGTTTGATCCTGGGTTCGATTTGTCAATTTCGAATGCTAGGTTTTTGTAGGTGTTGGGTTCATTTGTAGGTGCTGGGTTCGAAATCGAACCCAGCAGGCGTTGGGTTTGAGCAGCTGCTGAGTTCCTTTAAGTGAGGCTCTGGGTTTCGTTTCGAACCCAGCAGCCGTTGGGTCAAATATCTATTGAGTTTAATCTATTGATTTGTTGTGTTATCCTTGAATTTAATATTAGGAATTAGGGTTTGCAAAAGGTTAAAGGAAAGGGAGAGGAAGAAGAAAGGGACAAAGTAAAAACAAACAAAGAAAAAAAAAAGAATAAGAAATTTTTTAAGATTTTTTTCTTACCATCTCATTTTTTTTTCATACTGTACATCCTAGGTGTCAAAATGTTTTAACAGGTCATCGTTTTCCCCGTCAAGTAACGGGACACGTAGGTTGATATTTGACGGAAGGACCAAATCGGGGTAAAAATGGTAAACAGTAAGGACTAAATCAGGGATTTTTTTAGTTCAGGGACCAAATCGGGGGTCCGTACAATAGTTCAGGGACCAAAAAGGGGTTTTAACCTTTTATTAATTAAGTATATATATAAAAAATACTCATTATTTTATCAGGTGCCAAATGTAATTGGGTTTGCATTGGGCTCAGCCCAGTTGGTTCTTTATGCAATATACAAGAAAAGGTCGGCTTCTGCAAAATCAACAAGGGACTCCATGGAAGAAGAAGAAGAAGAAGAAGGATCAGCTCAACTGGTGAAGAAAGGAAACATTGAAATGTCTTCTCTCAACGAAGACGAGGAGGCAAATTTGAAGAATTGGACCCTTAACAAGGGCAAATGCCTAACGAAACTGAGAGGACACCAGCAGAAGAGCTTGCAGAAGATGGAGAAGACACTCTCTCTTGGTCCATATGACCTCCGACATTACTCCAGTAACTTTCGCCGTGAGATCGATGCTGAAAAGGGAAATTGTGATCATCTTTGATTTTTAAGTTTATTTGTTGTTGTCAACGTGATAAGGACTTAACGTGACAAACATATTCATAAAGAAGAATACTCTTTAATATTGCAAAAATTTAAACTTTGAATTTTAATTCTAAATTAAAATTGTACTATTAATAAATATTGATTTAATAAAATTAATCTAATTGACAATCTTATGTGGTTGGCTCTTCTCATTTTGTTACATCTTAGAAATGTTTTTAAATGGAATTATAGAGAGCACACAAACAACACAATAAATTAATAAAAATATAATAATTATAATGCCATGTGATATTATAAATTTATAATTATAATGTACAATTATAAAATTAATTATTTTTATTCAAAAATCACATATTATATTATTCACATTTACTTATTTAATATTGTATTATTATTATTATAAATTTATAATACTATATAATATTATAACTATAACATTATAACTATGTCTACAATATTTCTAAAAATTAATAGAATAATCGATGTACTAGCATTTCTCTTTTTTACATCAAAAATTATGTCTTTGATATTGCTTTTACTTGACTCCTTACTTCAACCATGAAATTGAAAAGAAAACCTTATCCATTTAAAAACTTTTATTTTATAATTTAAACTGTGAAATACATTTTTAATATTAATAATAGGTGCCGGCTCGAATAAACTGAGGTTGTTTGACAATATCCAAGAATTCGTTGGGTATATTACCTACTTTCAACATATATATGTGTGTGTGTGTGTGTGTGTGTGTGTGTGTGTGTATGTGTGTATATATATATATCATTGTATGCCTTTGTATATGAGTACCAGGATCCAACAAGCCAACTACGGGCCCCAAAAGTCCATCAGCAACTGCATATGCATACATATGAACCTCAGACCGAGGGTACGGCAATAGGCTCAGGAACAAATTATTGAGCTATTCTGTCAAAGTCATTATGGAAAAAAAAATATTAATATGCCTTAGTACATGGGTCGCAGGATCCAACAAGATAATTACGAGCCTCAAACATCCATCAGTGGCTGCATATGAACCTAGGATCCAAGCCATTGCGTCTCACCCAGGAACAAATTATTGAGTTATTGTGTTGAATTTAGTATGATCTCATTTCAACATATAGCTCCTTTTTTAAAATAATTCAACATTTAACCAATTAGTCAAATACTTAAGGAAAGGTTTCATCTAATAGTTAATTGGTCAAATGCTTTATAAAATATAGTAATGGTTGATTCACCCATCCAACAATGAAGTTTCTGTTTTATGCTAGTCACCTAACAATGGTAAATGTATATTGGTAAATATATATTGATTCATATGTGTCGTCAATTAAAAAGAACCAATTACAGTTATTGTTAAGCATGACTGTGTAATTAACTAATTAAGCTTGTAAGCGGATATTTTTCACTTTTCTCTAAACACACAATCCTGCATTTTGTTATTGGCCTCATGTTAATTATCTGAGTTCCAAACCATCACAACCTGTAGAAATTATTAGTGGATTTCATATGACTGGGTAGTTTCTATCATGTTAAATCTGCAACATCTTTTCCATTTTATTCTTCTAAAATGTTGTCTAAACTTAACGATTAAAAAAGCAGAAATGAAAAAACCATACCAAGAGAAACAATAATTTTAAATTCTACATCTATTGCCTATTTTCAAGAAAAAAAAATTAATTCTACATCAAACGATGGAGTTACCTAAAGAAGGTGAAAACAGTTTTCTTTCCCTCACTAATGTGTAAATCGGATTTCTTTTTTTTAAAGGCAAAATTCAAATATATTACTAATGGAATACAAGGGTTACTCTTATTCATAACTTACAAATAATAAATAATTAAAAATGAATTGTTAAGATTTTATATAAATGTATTGCGTAAATTTTGTATGTAAATAAATCTCTATTTTTTTATTATGGAATTGAGGTGATTATTTTCTATCTGTTGAAAATCAAGACATTCTCTCCATGATACCAACAAACAAGAAAAATATTATGGATTAATTGTTTTCACATTATTGGATCTCACGAAGATATCATTGACAAGGTGGTCGGAATTAATCGAGATACATGAACTGATTAATAGAGGAATCCAACATATGTCTAACATAATTAAAGCCAAATTTATTCAAGATACATATTGCTCAAAAATACAAGAATGAGTTTTTATCCATCTTTTTTTGGGGGTTTTTTTTTTTTTTTTTGGTTAGGTCGAGTAGTGTTAGTCTCTATTAGAGTTATCTTGACTTTTGAGGACTAATGAAATGATAACAGTAATGTCAAATTATGTTAACAAAATCTGATGCACAATTATGTTAATCAAACCTGATGCCAGAGTCCTTTTACTCCCCAAAATTCAAAGAAATTTCTTGTTGGGTGGGGTGGGGGGGGGGGGGGGGGAGGAGTGAAGGTAGTAGGAAGGTGGCTTCAGTTAAAAGGGATTGCATTTGTAAGAGTAAGTTAGAAGGGGGTTTAGGAGTCAAAGAGCTACAAAAGTTCAATCTAGTTTTATTAAGGAAGTGGATGTGGAGATTACTAGAAGAAAGAGAGGCATTGTGGAAACAGGTATTGGAAGCTAAGTATAGAATAGATAGAAGGAAGGTGTGGGAGGGCACTAAATGGAAAGTGTCTTGTTCATTATGGTGGAGGGAATTATGGAAACTAGACAGTGCAATACGTGCGAAAGAGGGTTGGTTCAAAGATGGGGTAGATAGAAAAATAGGTGAGGGAAAGGATATGTTGTTTGGCATGAGATATGGGTAGGGGATAAGCCACTAAAGGACAAGTTCAATAAGTTGTCCAATTTGTCTAGGGATAAAGATGCTTTCATAATAGATACAAGTAGGTGGAGTCATGGGGAATGGACTTGGAACTAGAGATGGAGGAGGAGTCTTTTTGTAGGGGAAACTAACTTGTTTCAAGAACTTCTCTTAATGCTACACAAAACACAACTAAAACAATGTGAAGAAGACCATTGGGTGTGGAAGCATGAATCTAAAATCAAGTGCATAGTAAGATCAGCCTATGCAATTGTTAACCAGAATCAAGATAGAAGAATAGACACTTAATATATGTTGCATTGGGACAACAAATTACCCTGAAGATATTTGCTTTTGCTTGGAAAGCCTTGTAGAACAGGATCCCTATTGGAGAAATAGGGTAGAAAATCTGCAAATGGCTTCAAAGCGTGCTGCAAATGCCACTTTCCTTTAAGCTAAATTCGCCCCCACCAGATCTAGTATGCAAAAGAGGTAACCCGAAATACTCGTAGGATACAATGAAGCACCTTGTTGATCTTGCCTTTGCACTAGCAAGATCAACCACTAAACTATTCTTTGGAAAGCGACAAAACAATAGTTTTTATACAGGGATTTTTGCAGCAATCGAAGTAAAAAAAGAGGTTGTTTTATTTAGATAATTGTAGGGGTTTGTTTCTGAGTTCAAGAGACAAAAAGAAAAAAAGAAAAAAAGAAGAGATAACTTCATATTTATAAGGGTAAGATGTCTGTTTGGAACAGACGCTTCTTTTCAGTTTATTAACTAATAATATCTAAATTTTCGTTAAATTTATCCATTGGAAACTCTTCCAAAAGTCATTTGATTTTATTTGAATTCCAACTCACGTGTTTTCTTGCCTTCCAAAGTTATCCACTCTCTTCAGAAACTTATCAGAATTTTATCTCTTATTTCTTATGCAAATGGTTCAAACCATAAAAATGTGGTTTGAATCGAAATCGTAACTTTCTGGATTCTGGTTTCACGTAAATGATTCAAACCATAATTATATGATTCGAATCAAAGTTACACTTTCTCAAATGCATTCTGTGCAATTGCTTTGAACCAACTTTTTGTAATTCGAACCCAAATCCTGAAAATACTTTGAAAATTCTTTAACAATCCCAAGCAAGGAAAACTTGTTGAAAAGATCGAGGAATGATTGAGGAAATTACAGCAACAAAATGTAATTTGTGTGGGGACAAGACAGAGGCTTCAGAACATATTCTCTTCTCCTACACAATCTCGTGGAAAATCTGATGTTTTGTTATTAATGGGGGGACATTAAGGTGCAGCACAAGAGGGTGGATGGAAACATTTGAAGCAACACATAAGCCTTGTTAATGCAAGAATTATTAGAGAGGCATGGTCAACAATATGGTTTTTCACACTGTGTGGTCCATTTGGCTATGGCGGAACTCACTGATCTTTTATGGAGAGACAACAAATCTTGAACAGGTGTGTGATCAAATTAAATTTAGCTCATTCTTATGGATCAAAGCTAAATGAATATCGAACTTATCTCAATTGTCCTGGTATAGTAATCCCAAGGAAGCTTGTAGGATTCACTCACTTTGAAGACTTTTCCTTGCACACCAAAATGGAAAAGAATCATGTTAATAGTAGGTTTTTGGGTTTGGCTATCTTGTGATTCAATACCCAAGTGATAGTCTTCCTTTCTTTATAGTCGATCTTATAAATGGGTTTGAGATACCCCTTGTACTTGGTTCATAACCCCCCACCCCAAAAAAAAAAAAAACCAATGCAAGATTTTTGGATGGTTGGGAGTTGATTTTGCTTTAGTCAACTCTACTATTACTGCAGAAGTTTTTCTGCATTCACAGCAATGTTAGGATGGTGGATGCCAATGGAAGGTAGTGTAAAACTTAACATACATAGCTGCAACTTTTGATGAACATGAATGGGGGAGTTCTAAGAAATTATTATGTTAGTCTTAATTTTCAGGACCTGCTTAAAGAAATATTTGAAGGGGATGTCATCTGTTAGTGATGAGAATTGGAAGAAACACCATAAACACAATTTAATCATTGAAACAAGAGTTTGTTTTTTCACTTTATTATTCAATCTTTTGTTCTTAGAGAGTTAAAAGAAGGCAATTTCTTGAAATTTCGAGTATATTTAAAGGAAAACGATTACGGTACAATTTTTATAATATAATTTCTTTATATAACCTTATGTCGTTTACAGTAATTATTTACTTTTTTTTTTAATTTTATTAAGACCCCATGGTATTATATTATATAAATATATACTCATTCAATTTGATAACTTGCAAAAGTTGTAAATTCGTAAATATAATATAAATAGGTTGTCCATATATATATATATAATTACCCGTATCTAAACTCCATGAAATTTCTGTTCCCAGCTTTTTCAATTATGACCTCAAAATTACAATCAACCAACCTCCAACCCTTCCTATTTGGTAACTTTTAAATACAAACAAAATCAAGTCAACTAATTATTTTAAAAAAATAATTAGTACATATTTAATTCAATATATTTTTGGTTCAATCATTAAAAATTTAATATAAATATAGTTAATTTAACCAATTTTAACATCTTATGTGCATAATTATATTTTTAACTTTATCTGTCTTTAATTTCATATCAAAAAATAATAATTTTTTAATAAATATATTGTACAGTATGTTAACCTAAAGAGTATATTAATCATTTTCCTAATTTTAAATAGCCCCACTTGCACTTCTAGTTTTTTCTTTTCTTTGCATTGTATCATCATATATACCTTAATTCTCCCTCGCCACATTTGTAAATTCTTATAAAGGCCTCAAAGCCCTAGTTCCCTCCCTTCAACATGACAACCCTCAGTTTCATTGTTGGAGTAATAGGTAACAACCTCATCCCTTTGAAACTTCTCTATCTCTTTAGCCTTATTCTTACAGCTAAAAGCTCATTGCAGGCAACATAATTTCAGTCTTACTTTTCCTTTCTCCTCTGTAAGTATAATATTCTTTCTGAAATGTTCAGCAAACTTCATGTTCTGTTTCTTCCTCATCAAGACTCTAATTAACTATTGGAGTAAATTAATGTCATCTGCAGAGGGACATTTCGTAGGATTGTGAAGAATAGATCGACTGAAGAATTCGAGAGTCTTCCTTACATATGCACCTTCCTCAATTCAGCTTTGTGGACTTACTATGGAATTATAAAGTCCGGAAGCTATCTTGTAGCCACTGTAAATGGGTTTGGTGCAGTGGTGGAGATTGTTTTCCTTACCTTGTTCCTCATTTTTGCTCCTCCAAGAACGAGGGTAAGTTGTAAACTTAAAATATCTTGATTGCCCGAAACATTTGAATCTGAAACCTTCAACTTCAAAGTTCTGTGTTGAGTTGTCTTGTAGAAAGAACTTACATGTGCACAATGATTATATTGATAATTTGTTGTAGGCCAAGACTGCCATACTTGTAGGGTTACTGGATGTGGGTTTTCTAGCAGCAGCAGTGCTGATTGCCCAATTGATATTGAATGATGACTTGAGGATTGATGTAATAGGTTTCCTAGGAGCAGGCCTTAACATTATCATGTATGGCTCTCCTTTAACAGCCATGGTAAGTATACAACTCATTTTTTAATCTGTAATGAAAAAAATGTTTTAATTATAAAACTTCTCTTTTTAATGATCAGTTTATGCTCTAAGTTATCTTTTTAATTTTGATGAGATTATAACCTAAGTTATCAACTTAGCATTCCAATCTCTTTTTATTAATCCCTTTTAAAATCTAATCTTACTTCAATTAAAAGTTTTTATTTATTTATTTAAGATTCACAAGAAACAACTCTTTCACCCCATTTTATGCTATGAAACTCAAATATAAACAAAAATTAATATTGAATTACTTAAGTTGTTAGTAGATTAAAAAATCCTTTGATGCCATCTACTTCCATTCTCTTCTAATATCCAACAAACAAATATTTTTGGTCAACAATTGAACAAAACAATTTTTATTTTAATGTAGTAATCCAACAAATAAATTAATAACAAGAAAAATTCAAAGATTGATTCCACATCTCCAGGGTGCATAACTAATATTATTAATTTTGGGAAACCCTTAATTATGTCATGGAGGCCTAGCTTTATAAGCTAAGTAATCAGTAATATCAATGATTTTTGTATGAAACTAATCTTTAATTAATTTTTTGCTGTCAATAATCAATAATTAATGTACGTACTTTGAACTTAGAAGACATTTATGTATTGATTTTGTTTTAGTAATATATATAATGTATATGGGATGAACACAGAAAACGGTGGTGACAACTAAAAGCGTGGAGTACATGCCTTTCCTTCTTTCATTATTCGTTTGCTTGAATGGAGGGATTTGGACTTTCTATGCCGTCCTCGTCGCAGATTACTTCCTTGGAGTAAGTTCTCATCAAATATTATATATCTGCATTCTCTAAAATATTATTCTTAGGCGCCTAAACTAATTAATTAATATAATCTCTGTCCGTGGCTGGTAGCATCTAATTCATTCTTTATTGATAACATATTATATATGTTTACTACGAAGCTCTCTCCAGTTTATCCTGTACAAATTATAGAAAATGAATTGTGAATCGCTTGATTGTTGTATTTGCAATTTGTGTAGGGCAGGTGGATGTATGTGTTTATTAAATTATTAAGTTGGACTTAATTTGATAATATTTCTCTATTAAATAACAACGGTTTCTTTTCGTTTAAGAATGCAATTCCAGAGATTTTAGAGACTGAACACGTTAATTAACATAGGATACTATTCAGTCCTAAATCAGGGCACATGAAGTTCATGCAACTACCAGTCAACTTACCCTGCTTCATGTGATAAACTACCACACCCTATAGCGACTTTTAGCTAGCCATGCATTTTTCTACTTTCGGTGTATATACAAAATTTAAGGAAAGCAAGATTTGAATCTCAATTAAAGCTGAGAAAGGAAAACAACTGGTTGGGCATGAGGTATTGGTGAGGAATGAATGATAAGCTTCAAGGTGATTGCTAGCCAAGGAAGATCTTGAAGCTGCAATTGTAAGTTATTTTATGCTTTACCATTCCAAACAAATATAAAATATATTTAATATTTATTTTAATTAATATTTTATATATTTTTAAAATAATAATAAGATATAAAAATAAAAATAAAATATTAAAAAGCACTGTTAAACGAAATCTAAGTATATATATCATTTTTTTTTTAAATGTCTAGTGCAACATTTCCACGGTTGGATATAATATAATTAACGTGAAACAAAGTTGGCGTTTGAGAACATATAATGACCCTATGTTGATATTTGATGATGACTTTGTGATTAGATAATAGATGTAATTTTTTTTTTTTTTGAACATATTTACAAGGAGCGGGTTTCGAACCCAACCCGAAGAGAGGGAATGCACCGGGTGGCTATTGCCACTAGGCCGCATGGACCAGGTGCAGATAATAGATGTAATTTTTTTTTTTTTGAACATATTTGTAAGGAGCGGGTTTTGAACCCAACCCAGAGAGGGAGAATGCACCGGGTGGCTATTGCAACTAGGCCGCAAGGCCAGGTGCAGATAATAGATGTAATTGATAACAAAACCTAATTGCCTTCGTATAAATGATTAATGCGGATGTGTGGATATCCCACATCATCCAATTAAGGGGTTCAACACGGGGCAGGCTTTCGAGTTGGGGAAGAAGTTTTTGCCCATTCCTTTGATTGGGGAACTTATATATACACGATTTTTATTTAGAATTTGTGCAAAATAATAGTCATTTTTTTTCTATTATATATATATATTTATGTTAATTTTATAATTATCTCTCAACTGTAATTATTTATCATCTAATTAAAATATTTTTATATATTTATTTATTTTTTAAGGGTAAAATAGTTAAAAATAGAAATTGTCTCTAAATCTTTAATATGAAGATAAAATGAAAAAATATTTATTATTTTAAAGAGGAGGGAGTATATTTTAATATAACAATTAGGGATTAAACTCTAAACTTATAACTAAGATTACAAATAATTCAACCACTTGAGAACACAAATAACTTTACCACTAAATTATATAACTAATGGTGCTAATATATACTAGCATACATATGATATAAAATGTAAAAAAACAAAAAAAAAATGATATATTATTGGATTCAACACACTCGTCAATATATTTATTAAAAAAATATTATTTTTAAATTTAAATTAAATCGAAAAGACTTAAAACAACATATTTTAATGACTTTAGTGTTTTCATTTTTAATTTAAATTTGAAAATAATAATTTTTAATAAGTGTATTATAAAATATTTTAGACAAAAAAAATGTACCAATCATTATTAAAAAACATATATATATTTGCTTGTTCAAATCATGTGGTCATCACCTAAAAAAATTAACTCCTTTAAATATATCAAATCGTTATAAAGTTACATTTTAAAATTACTCAAAGAGAGGTTAATCACAATATAGGTAAAAGCTCACACGAAAACACCTCATCGTAAATATATATATAAAAAAAAAATTATAACTTTCTCCAATTTATCAATATACATAACGTTTATATAATGTTAATGGGAGCAGAGAGTTGCTTTCCTGACTAGTTTAAGGAACAAATATACTTATTTTGATTTTATCTAATATTTAATTATAAATATATTATGTTAGTTTTTATCAATTAAATTTTTAAAAAATTAGAAAAAAAATTTTAATTACATTATTTCAATAAAATAATACATGAATAGTCTAAAACAATCTCATTTCTACATTAAAAATATGTTATTTTAATCTTTTCAACAAGTATTTATTGAATTGATATGGTTTTACAGTATTTTTCTTCCTAATTAATTTTTTAAAGATTAAGCTAATAAATCAATTTTCTTTAATATATTTATTTTTGTTTACACTAAAATTTATTAATAAATTAGTTACTATCAACTAAAAATCTTAATTTTTTGCCAACAACTTAACTAAATTAGTAGTAATTTTTTTTATTGGAAGTAAGAGATCTTAAATTTAAGTTACATGGTATGAATTGAGTGGAGTGAAATAAAATATGAGAGAAAATTACTTTTTATTATGCAATCACAATAAAAATTATCCTAATTTTTTTTTATCGAAACATTGTTGAAGTGTGAACTTGTGGTAATTCCAGGTGCCAAATGGCATTGGATTTCTTCTTGGGGCAGCCCAACTTTTGCTCTATGCAATATACAGGAAACCTAGATCACCCAAAAGATCGCCAGATGATTTGGAAGATGGATGGCAGCATGAACACCTTATTTCATCTTCTCCATCTGTAAATGAAAATAATGAAGGTTCGTAGCTAATGTGAAAAAATATCTAGCAAAATTTAAGAAAGTTTGTGTTTCAAATATGAAATCCCGCTCTCCCTTTTGAATAAGATCAAGAAGGCAATCTCATGAGTTATTAGGTTATGTATTTTCAATATTCTAATTTGATTTGTAATTATACTCTCTTCTTATTTTTGGAGAAATTTATCAATTCATTATTTGTTTTTACTTTTGCAAAGCAATTTGGTCCAAACATATCCATTAAGATCATCAATTCATCCATCCAAAATAAGTCTTTTAAGTTGGAGGTGTTGTATTTAAATATCAACCAAATAAAAAAAAAAATTACTTCTAAGAGGAAAACTCTTCTTTCTTATAATAATACATGTATTGTTGCTTGGCTTCTTATGTACCAAAAAAAAAAAAAAACATGTATTGTTGCATTTAATTCATATCCATCCTAAATTTTAACAAAATACGAATAAGTATTTGTTTAATCCATATGCTTTATGATTAATAAAAAAAAGAGTAAATGATTTTTAAGATTAAACTTTAGAATAAAAATATTCAACTGTTCATTATGTAAGTTCCAATGTTCAACTATCCCTATTAATTCATTTAAAATTCGGTCTTAAAAATAAACTATTATTGACTCTCTCCCCC